AAACTACAACATTAATTTCAAAACACGGCTGCTGAAAATTTTCCAAAGGAACCGTCTCCTGTAGTTGTTGAACTAGGGAGCAGAAAAAAGAAGCAGAGAATTGGTTGTCTTTTAGACCAATATTTCCAGACAGAGGAAAACAGAGAAGGCTTCTCTGCGTCAGACATGGGTTCAGGTCCCGAATGTGCTTGTTGTGCAAGTTACTAATCCTATTGACCCCCAATTTCCTCCTTTGTAATCCTGGATGGTCTTCCCTGTGATGAGTTTCTTTGTGAATATTCCAGGGCCTCATATGTGTTAAGTATGTAGAAAGGAGCCCAGCACATATTAGGCACTCGAAAGAGCTGGTATCTTCCTCCACCCTGCATTCAGGTTAGTTTTATCCTGCTCTAATTTCTTCAGGCACTGGAGTGTCTCATTAATAGTTTACTTGTTTGTAGAAAGATTCCTTATACATTTTTTACTAAAGCCAATCTTACTGATCTTTTTGCCTTTTAAGTATAGACATCTGAGGAACTCTATAGCTTAGAAGTCTATATTTTTTCTCATTAATTGGGAAGTTAGCTATTTTTAAAGTGAATAGAATAAAAACATGTGAACATGCATTTAAAATAATTCTTCAGATTTAACCCCCGCCCAACAAACCAATATTAACCATAAATGAAAATCTGCATCCTTCTTGGTAACCTCTCCTATATGTCTAAAATGATGAGTCAGCCAATATGTTTACAGATTTGGTGCCAAAGTCCTACCTGCTGATACTTTTCTTAACATTCCCATTTGAAAAATTATAAATATTTTACTTTTGTAGGTTTTGCAAACACTGGTATTTTTATGCCTCCAGCAATCCCTAGCTTCTAAATATTTTATCTTGGGTAGCATGCGGTATGTGAAGTTCTGCTACCATATTTCCCAGATCTTAAAAACCTAAAGGCCTTGAAGTTAATGTTGAATAGTGTTAAGAGGGTTATTTTTAAATTTCTTTTGTAGATTTGTTGTTGTTCCTTTTTAATAAAACTGAAAAGCAACAGAAATGTTTGTAAATGGAAGAATTTCCCCCAAAATTTCTAGAGCAGATACACATATTTGCCTAAATTTTGCTTGGATTTAAAAAATACCAGCCCATATGAAATTGTTTTTAAGAACTGAGAAAGAAAGAATGGCTTTAGAATCCATTTAAAGGCAAAATCACCATTATAGGATAAATGAGATGAATAGTTTCCTCTTCCATTTTTAATGCTCAATGTACTTTTCAGCTCTAGGATAAAATAGCTTTTCTTACTTTCTGAGACAAAGACAGGCATGTGGAATAGCCAGAACACTAGAACTGAGCTAGAGACTAACCACAGGAGAAGGAGCAGATGGGCTTAAGCAAAGACATGACTCAGAATCCTTGTCATCATATAATTATAGGCAGCTATCATAAATCTGTAAGAATCTGTAAGGATGGGCTCTATAAATATCTATTTTTCATCTCAACATTGGAAGTCTTTACCTTATTTAATGGATCTATGTTATATTTCCCAAAAATAAAAAGAGAAATATTCCAACTATTCGGGTGAATAAGCTAATCACCTCCAAAAGTTGCCTACTCGGCATATCATAGGGACAGTAAAAATTGCAACATGATAAAATGGATACCTGACCTTCACCAGAGAAAGTCATTATTAGGCAGCATGATCTCCAGTCTCTGTTCTTCAAAGGCTTTACTCTTCTATCATTCCCCAAATGTAACATGTCCCTACCAACCACAGAGCATGTGTAAAACCTTTCCCTCACCCTCTGCGCTCTACTTTTTCCCTTGTATGCTGTAGCCTTCCCCAGATCCCAGACCAATCATCTCCTCAGAGCCACTTTCCATGAATCTTCTCAATATATATGAAATCACTCACAGAGTGTAAATCTCAGATGCAATTTCACATTTGCTTTTGCTTTTTAAAATTAATGTCTGCTCCCCTTCTAGACTGTGGATTCCACAACAGCGGAGCATGTCTGCTTTTGTTCATCATTGTATTCTCAGTGTCGAGCCTAACATCTGGCACATACTAGGTGCTTAATAAACATGTGTTGAAGGACTACATGAATGAATACAATATTGTGCATTATTTCTAGGGTTCTAAAAATGAACATTGTCAGAATCTCAATGCTTCTCACTAGTTCCCAACTATGCTTTCAGGTTTTTAAAGGTCCCTTGTCATACTTCTAGTTACTGTAATCCACCACAGCAAGAGTGTAACTAAGACAACATAACAGAAACAGGTGCCAAAATGTGTCCATAAGACAAACTAGGATTTCCTCATGCAGGAAGGACCAAGATGCCTGCTATCACACTTTTAGAGCTTCATTGCTTTCTGTTAAGGTATTTTGTCTTCTGACAGCCTGTTAAGCAAATACTCTCAGGAGTAGTGCCATTGTCACCAACACTTAGGCAGGACTTTTGTTACTGGTGCACAATTGCTAATAGTAGACTTCCTATAGAGACAGATAATAATTAGAGCCCTCAACAGTGGAATGGGCTGCCTAAGGAAACAATAAAATGTCCATTACTGTGGATATTCAAGTAAAGCTTGGTGTCTACTTATGAAGAATGCAGTCCAGAGGATTACTGCACTGGGTGCAAGACAGAAGGTGTGGCTTCCAAGATTCTTTCTGCCTATAAGATGCTATGAGCTACTGCTCAGTTTCTAATGAACTGGAAGGAAATGCCTTTCAACTGCAGATGAAAGGCACAGGGGAAATGGGGAAATGGCACTGTCTGGTACTAGTCTGAAAAATGTCATTTATTAGCTAAGTGATTTTGGCAAAAAGTTAACTCCTCTAAGCTGTTTTTATTTCTTTATAATGGCTATTTGAAGGGTTTTGGAACAATGAAAGGAGAGAGAAGCTGTACTTTTTAAACATAAACTCTGCAGTGCTAAGCACATTTTTTGGCCACTATTATATCAAGAAAAGCTCCTTTTATCTTAATTGCTAAGTAGTTCCCACAGTTGGGAAGAGACTTTCTAGACAAAAAGCATCAGGGAAGGGGCACCGTTATTCCTCTCTACCCCAATGTCCTAAAGGTAGAAATATGATTAAATTTTCCAGGGAATTTAGATCCCTCTATAAGCTCAGGAATGGCATCTGTCTTGGGACACCAGAGCATATAATCTCTCTACCCTATGCTTTTATGGGCTAAAAAAATAAACAGTTTTTTAGGTGTAAATAAGATACAACTGCCAAAAGTCATGGAATTACCTGGATGGTGTGTTCAGGCTTTCTTCTTATAGAAACAGTGATTATTTGAAAACGTGCCAAAGCAAAACTGTCTTACCCTTGGAAAATCTTATTTGCTTTACCTCTGCAACAGGCAGTCAGCTTGTCTCTCTACTCCTTCCATCTTTTTTCCCCATAGTCATTCCATCATTCATTCATTCAACAAATATTTACTGACTCATCTCTGAATGAGACACTGATGGGCATGTTGGAGATATGATGAAAAACTGAAGTGGTCCCTACATCATGGAGCTTACATCATATGTAGAAAGATATGTAACAATAAGAAACTCTTTAAAAAGTTGAAATATGCAAGTGAGTAAAATATGAAGGAGGAGTATACAGGAGATTGACACTACATAATAGAATAATTTATCTTGTCAGGAAGATCAGAGATGGCCTAACTAAAGATAAGAAAACTGAGCCAAGATCTGAGAGAAAAACTAAGTTGAGAGTATCAACTAACAAACACTCCCATAGTATAGAAATCAACAGAGATGAGGTGAAACTCCATAGGCTTTCCAATACCTCTCAGGTGGGTAGGGAAGTGAATTGTAAGAACATTTATTGTTTAGTGAGATCATAATGTATAAAATCCATAAATTTGTGCAAAAAGCAGATGCAACAAATTAACAAACTATTTGGCAAGCACATGTCTGAAGATAGCACTGTTTCTTCTTTAAATACTTATATTCACCAGCGAGACACTTGTTCCCAAGTTTACCTCCTGACATACCAACTAGAACTCAATGTTCCAAATATTAATATAATGTGCATCTCTCCTTACGTCCTCAGACCCTCTGTCACAGAAAGAAAGGTAAGACAGATGGACGGACAGAAGGAAGGAAGGAAGGAAGGAAGGAAGGAAGGAAGGAAGGAAGGAATAGACCCTCTGTCACAGAAAGAAAGCGGTAAGACAGATGGATGGATAAAGGAAGGAAGGAAGGAAGGAAGGAAGGAAGGAAGGAAGGAAGGAAGGGGTGAAGGAAGGAAGGAAGGAAGGAAGGAAGGAAGGAAGGAAGGAAGGAAGGAAGGAAGGAAGGAAAAAGGGAGAGAGAGAGGTAGGGAAGAAGGAAAAGGGAGGGATGGAAGAAGGTGGAGGGAGGAATTAAGTGAGAGGAAAGGAAGACAAAAAGATAAGAAATAAAGCAAAAAAGAGAACGAAATGAAGGAAGGAAAGGAAGGAAGCAAGGAAGAAAGGATGGAAACAAAGGCACCTAGTGTTTCCTTTTCTCATGCCTTCATCATCTTTTCTCATACATGTTTTATTCTTGTTTTTTAATATATGTTTGTTCCAATCCAAAGTCTTTCAGCTATGCTATCTGGAACTCTCAAATTCCATTTTTAACTCCTCAAACTTTATGCAGAAATTTTCTCCAACTAAATTTACCTCCAACTAAACCATCACATTTTTGGGAGGGACCCAGTTCTGCTTTCTGTGGCTGCACATTGGAATCAACGGAAGTGATGTTAAAATTATAGATACGAGTTGTCCTGGTGTATGCCTCCTTTATAAACATTTATTAAATGCTTCCCAAGCGATAAATGGGCATTGAGGGTTGAAAAATCCCTGCAGACTGGTTCCAGAGCAAGGCTTTTATCTTATGTATCTGTGTTTCCCTTATCCTTACATAGGGCAGCTATATAATATGATATCAATAATGGACTGAATTAAACTACATGTCAAACCTATTTTATTCACTGACTCCTTAAAAAAATCATATGACTCTCATTTTCTTTTCCAGAATTGTTTTGGAGAACTTGGAACTCAACATTCCATAAAGTAAGTGTAGTCTTTTTTCTAAAGAATTTTATCCTCCTTTCACTAGTGTCATTCAAATTTTATCACCAATAGCTCTATAAACATCAGCCTGAAAGCACATGGAAGCATATTTTCTAAGGCTGCTAAAGCATTCATTCTCAACCCCAACTGAACAGTAGATATGTTGCCTTGCAAAGTGGTTAATAAACCGGGCATAGAAGGTCAAGGATTCTAAGCCAGGAGCAAATCCTACACCATGCAACTTAAACAGTACATTATTCCAGGATAATGCAATCACTGGAGCTGTACTTACACGACAAATCTTAAAAGTGTCATTCCATTATAAAAAGGACTTTGAGAACATAAGTAATCCTAGTCCATCAGGAAAGTCCTTCATTCAACTCATGGTCCAATCAAAACTGCCTTAATGTTATAGACTTTGGTATGGCCTATGTAGCATCTAGAATTAATTGCTACATTGAATTTATTACTGTGTTTGACTGACTTTTTTTTTAACTCAAGACATGCTGATAACTTTTATGCTAATGAAGGAGAAGGCAAAACAAAAGCATGATGGAAAGTATAAAGATTGGACTGCAGAAGATACGTGAATACTTTGATTATCCTGTTTGATATTGCCTTATTTTTGGGAGAAGAAAAGGATGAATGTTAATAAGTCCATCTCACAGAGAAAGAAATGAAGGGTCAGAAAAAAGCTCATGTGGCTAGTAAGTGGTGGAGTGAAACCCAAATGCCAATATATAGCTAATATTCCAGAGAAAGGAAAATTTCTATAACAAGGCCACCAAACTTTTAGCGTATTAAGTAAGGCACTGCTATATTTTCTAGAAATTATCCTTTTGCAAATACTTTTCATTTCATATAGGTATCTAATTATTATATCTGTAATAGTTGAAAAGACTCAACTGTCTCCCACTGAATTGTTTTGGTGCCAAAGTAGAAATAGATCAACTGTATATGGGTGGTCGACTCTCTTTTTTGATATATTGATTTTTTGTTCTTATTTTGTCAATACTGTTTTGATCCTTCCAGGTCATTTGCATTACCACACAAACACATGAAGCTTATTCATTTCTACAAGAAAAGTCTGTTGGGGTTTTGATTAGTATTGTTTTGAATTTAAACATGAGTTTGAGTAGAAGTCACTTATTAATAATACCTGTGTTGAATAATTCTAGATTATGAATGCAGCATATCTTTCCATTTATTTAGATTCTCTTTAAATTCTCTCAGCAATATCTTACTGTTTTCAGTGTACTTGTATCTGTGCATTATTTTGCATATTGTGATGCTTTCAAAATGATATTTTAAAAATGTTATTTTATAACAGCTCACTGACAATATGTATTTATATTTAGATAGATTTGTATGTATATTTTATATATTTTAAATTGATCATATGTATGTATGTGCATATATATGCATATATATAATGCTTGTATCTTATAGTCTTTCCAAATATATTTATTAATTTTGATACAAAGTGTTTGCAAATTGCTTAGACTATTCTATATACATAATCATGTAGTCTGTGAATAAAAATTGTTTTAATCATCCTTTCCTATTGTTATATTTATGTATTCCCATTATTTATTTATTTATTTTTTGCCAATTGCATTAAGTAGAACGTCTAATATGTTTAATGAACATGGTGAGAATACACATTCTTTGCTTTGTTCCCTGGCTTAATAGAAAAGCATTCAGTCTTTCAACATTAAGAAATGATGTTAGCTCAGGCCGGGCGCGGTGGCTCAAGCCTGTAATCCCAGCACTTTGGGAGGCCGAGACGGGCGGATCACGAGGTCAGGAGATCGAGACCATCCTGGCTAACGCGGTGAAACCCCGTCTCTACTAAAAAAAATACAAAAAAACTAGCCGGGCGAGGTGGTGGGCGCCTGTAGTCCCGGCTACTCGGGAGGCTGAGCCAGGAGAATGGCGTAAACCCGGGAGCTTGCAGTGAGCTGAGATCCGGCCACCGCACTCCAGCCTGGGCGACAGAGCCAGACTCCGTCTCAAAAAAAAAAAAAAGAAAAAAGAAAAAAAAAGAAATGATGTTAGCTCAGTATTTTTGGTAGATGCTTTTTATTAGTTTATGAGTCTACTTTCTACTCCTATTGTTTTGGGAATATTTTTATAAATAAATACACATTTTTTTCTTTTGCATTTTTGAAATGGTTATATAATTTGGTTATTTTATTCACTTGGTAAGTTGAATTATATTGATGGATTTTTTTCAGTAGGAATCAGACTTTCAATATTGGGGAAAACCTGATTTCTTCTTAAGGTACTATCTTTCTATGTATCTTTGCATTTGACTTATTCATGTTTTGTAAAGAATTTCTGAACCTTTACTCTTGAAGGATATTGGTCTCTGGTGAGTTTGTATTGTAAATGCTTTGTTTGGTTTCAGCATTAGGCAATACAGCCTCATAAAATGAGATAGAAAATATTTCTTCGTCTTGTATTTTCTGAAATATTTTGTGTAAGATTATTTTATTTCTTTCTTAATTGTTTGTTACCATTCTCCAGTGAATCCATCTGGGCCTATACATTTCTTGGTGGGACGTTTATTCATAACTATGAAATCATTTCTTTAGTAGATAAAAGCTCTTTAATTTTTCCATTTCGTTTGGGTTGAATGAAAGAGCTTTTATCCATTTCCCTTAAGTTATTAAGTTTATTAGTATTAAGTTGCATATTAATTTTATTATTTCCATTTTGTTGTTGGTAGCATATAGAATAAAGTACTTTTTATCATTCCTGATACTGGTATTTCATTTTCTTTTTTCTTTGTTTGTCTGGTAGTTTATTATTTCACTAATATTTTCAAAAAATTATCTCTTGGTTATGTGAATTCTATGTATTATTTGTTTTCTATTTATTTTATGGAATTGTGGTTTTAATTTTATTATATCCTTTTTCTTGTTAAAATACTTTTTTAAATTATTGGTTTACAGTTTTAAATTTCAACTCTGATTTTATATTCAGGAGGTACATGTGCAGGTTTGTTATTGGGTATATTGTGTGATGCTGATGTTTGGGGTATAATTGGTCTCATCACCCAGGCACTAAGCATAGTGCCCAACAGGTAGTTTTCAGCCCTTGCTATCCTCTCCCCTTCAGTAGTTTCCAGTTTCTGTTATTGTCATCTTTATGTCTACGAGTACCCAATGTTTAGCAGCCACTTAGAAGCATGTGGTATTTAGTTTTCTATTCCTGCATTAATATGCTTAGGATAATGGCCACCAGCTGCATCTATGTTGCTGCAAAGGACATGATTTTGTTATTTTTAATGGCTGCATTGTATTCTATTGTGTATTTTTACAGCATTTTCTTATCCAGTCCACCACTGATGGGTACCTTGGTTGTTTCCATGTCTTTGCCACTGTGAATAGTACTATGATGAATATATGACTGCATGTATCTCTTTGTGTAAAATGATTTTTTTAAATATCCAGTAATGAGATTCCTGGGTCAAATGATAGTTCTGTTTTAAGTTCTTTGAGAAATCTCCAAACTGCTTTCTACAGTGGCTAAACTAATTTATATTCCCACCAACAGTGTATAAGTGTTCCCTTTTGTCTGCAACATGCCAGCATCTGTTGTTTTTTTGACTTTTTAGTAATAGCCATTCTGACTAGTGTGAAATGGTATCTCACTGTAGATTTGATAAGGTTGTAGCATTTTGATTATGATGTGTATTGGTGTGATTTTCTTTGCGTTTTTACTGCTCAGAGCTTATTACACTTATCGGGTTTATACAATTATATTTTCCATGAGCTTGAAAACTTTTCACCACTATTTCTTTGCATATTTTTCCACCACCCTGTCCCACCCGTAAGTCTCTTTTGGCCTCTTCTGGAACCCCAACTGTATGTATGTTTTACTACTTGATATCATTTCACAGTTTACTGAAAGTCTCTTCATTTTTTTCTTCCTATTTCAGTTTGCATAGCTTCTATTTTCCCATATTTAAAGTGACTTTTCTGTAGTTTATAATGTACTGAAAAGCCAATTGATGAATTTTTTATTTTAGATATTGTATTTTCAATATAAAAATTTTGTCTTTCTCATAGTTTGTATTTTTCTATTGAAATCCTCTATCTTTTCCCTCCTTATGTTCATTTAGTCCTTTTAAGTCCTTGAACATATTTATAATAGCTATTTTGTGTCTTGGTTAGCTCTTTCTATCATGTTGGTTATTTCTGAATTTCTTTATCTTGATTGACTTTTCTCATAATTATGGGGCATATATTCCTGTGTCTTTGCATGTCTACCCATGTTTTATTTAATCCTAAGCATTATAAATGGTGTATTTTCCTCTTATTTAAATAAGATTGGGTTTGATACTTACAGACTTAATTTTCTTGTACTTCAGAATTGTTTATAAGAGTAATTACATTTGGACTAGAGTAGCTTTATTCCTGAGATGTGAGATTTCTGAAGTGTCATTTAATTATCTGAAGTTTCAACAAGGTCTCTCTGTTCTGGTTGGTTGGAACTCAGATTTTTCTAATGGATATGCAAGCTTTGGAATCTTCACTGAGTTCTCAGCAACTTGGTAGGTGTCCTTTGCCCAGCGTTTTCAAGTATCATCCTGTGCATGCATACTTTAATAATCAGCCAAAGACTAAATAGGAGTCTCATGTAGCAAGCAATCTAGAGCTGCTTTTCTTCACAGTTATTGATTCTGTAGTATTCTGACTGCAAATTAGATTCTCTAGTACTCTGACTGCAAATTCTAGTTCCTTACATTATGTCCAAAACATTATGTCCAAACTTTGATTTCTGTCTCCTCAGCTTAGTCAGATACCTGTGTACCTCCTGGTCTTCAGCTCCAAGTGCTATGGGCGCCTCTGAGCTGAAAGCTGAGCAATCATGGCAATCATGAGGTTCAACACATTTGTTATCCTTATCTTGGGGATCATGGTTCTGTTCTGAAAATACATTTTTCTTTTCATATACTTTTCATATACATATTTGTCTAGTTTTATAGTTACTCATAGAGAATGGCTAGATTATTACCACCTACTCTAACATGTGAGAATCAGGAGTCCTCTCCCACCCATGAGCACTAAAAATCAAATGAACAAATAAACCTTCAAGAAGACAGTCAATTATTCCCATTTTCACCAATGTGTCAAGTGCTGGCATTGGTCCTTAAGCACCCAAACTTATAACCATTTGATGGAAACTTTTGGATGGAGTAAATGTAGCACTCATTAATTATGTGAATTTTTACAAGTTATTTAATGTTTCTGGGTTTTGTTCTGTCATCGTTAAAATGGAGATAGAAATACTCTGTATAATTGTTGTGAGGCTTAGAAGAGTTCTTAAAAGACACATAACACAGTGTTTGACACAGTATTAAGCACCCTACCAAATATTATTATTCTGAAGGTAAAAGCTAAAATATTTATTACAGTGATGCTTAGAAAGTATTTTCATTATAAAAACAGGGTAAAAATATAATTTAAAAATCCAAGTATCTTTTTTATGCACCAGTTGACATGACTTTATGATTTTTCTTCTTTAGATTGTTGATTACACTGATTTTCAAATGTTGAACCGGGCTTGCATAGTTATGGTGTTAACACTTTTTACATATTGTTAGATTTGACTTACTGATATTTTGTTGAGTATTTTTGCATCTATATTTATAAGAGATATTAATGTGTCATTTTCTGTTTTATTTTTATGGACTTTGTGTGGTTTTGGTAGTGGGTATATTAACTCTATAAAATGAATTGAGAAGTGTTCATTTCTCTTCTATTTTCTGGAAAAGATTGTGTAGAATCGATGTTAGTTCTTGAAACATTTGGCAAAACTCTCCAGTGTTTTTTCCAGCCTGAAGATTTCTTTTTCTGGAGTCTTATGATTGTAAATTCCATTTCCTTAATATTTACAAAGCTATTCAAATTATTTATTCCATATTAGATGAGTTATAGTAATTTGTGCCTTTCAAAGAATTGGTCCCTTCAATCTGTCAAATTTATATGTGAAAAAGATTCGATACAATTTTATGCACATCCCATGATAAAAACGCTCTGTAAACTCCTCAACTTGATAAAGAACATCTAGAAAAAACCCTTCAGCTAATATCATACCTAATAATGAGAAACTAGATACTTTTTCTCTGAAGACTGGAAAAAAGGTAAGGATATCTTCTCTTGCCATTTTATTCAAGTTCATACTGGACATTCTAGCTCTATAATAAGATAAGGAAATAAAATCAATCTGCATACCTTTTATTAGAAAGGAAA